ATAGGAAGATTTTCAAAATCCTCAGTTATCAGAACCTAAACAAACTATTTGTTTCCGATTCTGGTAGACCTACGTGGGGTAGGAGCAACAATAGAAATATTCTCTCCAACTCCTTGAAGATTTTCGCATTAATTAGATTCAAGTGGGACGATAGGAGCCTCGCTAGTCGAATTAGCTTGCTCCGATGCATGATTAATCAACTCATGCGCCCTCGCCTCTAATGTGGTGTTATCCACATCCATTTGTTGCTCGTCTCGAATTTCTTCAAGAACCACTTTACTCCCACTTGGCTTTCTAGAGAGGAATTCTTTTTCTAGAAAGACACCATCGCGAGCAACAAACACTTTGTTATCTTCGCGATTGTAGAAGTAATACCCCTTTGTTTCTTTTGGATAACCCACAAAGAAACATTTGTCTGATTTAGGGTATAGTTTATCGCCTTGTAAACGTTTTACATAGGCTTCACATCCCCACATCTTTAGATAAGACAACTTTGGAACTCTTCTAGTCCATAACTCATATGGTGTCTTCTTAACTGCTTTGGACGGGCTTCTGTTTAGTACTCTGGCAGCTGCTTCTAATGCATATCCCCAAAATTATATGTGAAGATCAGTAAAGCTCATCATGGACCGAACCATATCTAGTAAGGTCCTATTCCTCCTTTCTGACACACCATTCAACTGTGGTGTTCCTGGAGGAGTTAACTATGAAAGTATTCCACAATTTATTAGATGTTCATCAAATTCTTGGGTCAAATATTCACCACCACGATCATATCGCAATGCTTTAATTGTCTTCCCAAGTCGATTTTGTACTTCATTCTGGAATTCTTTGAACTTTTCAAAGGCTTCTGACTTATTCTTCATTAAGTAAATACAACCATATCTACTTAAATCATCAGTAAAAGTAATGAAGTAATTAAATCCACCCATTTCTTTTGAACTCATTGGTCCACACACATCTGTATGTATGAGTCCCAAAAGGTCAGATCACTAGCTCTTTCACCTATACTCGTGAAGGGTGACTTAGTTATTTTCCCAAGTAAGCATGACTCACAATTTTCAAATGATTCATAATCAAAAGAAGAGAGGAGTCTATCCTTATGTAATTTCTGGATGCGCTTTTGGTTAATGTGACCAAGTCTACAATGCCATAGGTAAGTTGGGTTTGAACCATCTGTTCTTTGATTTTTATGATCAATGTTGTAGACATGAGTTGTATATTCTAAGACATACAAACCATTAATTAATTTTGCGTTAGCATATAACATATTTTCTTTAAAAATAAAACAACATTTGTCTCTTATTTCAAAAGAAAATCCTTCAGAATCTAAAACAGGAACTGAAATAATGTTTTTAGTAATTGTTGGTACATAATAACAGTTATTAAGCACCAAAATAAGTCCAGTGGGAAGTCTCAAGTGATAACTTCCAATAGCAAGTGCAACAACTTTTGCTCCATTTCCTACTCGAAGCGTTACTTCCCCTTTTGCTAACTTCTTACTTTCTCTCAAGCCCTGCACGTTATTAACGATGTGAGCACCACAACCTGTATCAAATACCCAAGTGGAAGATGAAGTAAGATTAATTTCTACAACAAAAACATCAAGTAACATTTTACCTTCTAATTTCACTGGTGTATAATGGGGACACCCTGGTGTATGGCATGGCTTACTACCGCAAAAGAAGCATTCGCTTCCTCTCCTTTTCAGGAACTCCTCAGCATGGTTAAGTAAAAGGTTGATCAATGTCACCGACGATCCCTCATCATTATGAGTGAGCTTGACAATGTCAAAACCATCGTGGAGTGAGAACAAGATAATATCATGTGCAGAGTCATCATTAATCGGTTTCCCAAGGACATTCATCTGATTGAACATTTCAATCAGCTCACTGACATGGGCCCTTACTGACTGACCAGGCATGAGTTTCTTAGCCATTATCTTACAATGAACATTGTAAGCCTCATACCTAACGATGTTAGTCCAGGAATAGTAAATATGAGGGATCGAGTTAACGACCTCTCTTACATTATGATCTTTGAAGCCTTCACTTCCTAATGCCCCAATGCCACCTCGACAGATAGCACGAAGACATTTATGCAAGTTGGTTAGCTCATAGTGCCTGAATCTTCTTTTCCAACAGATTGGAATAGATTCTAAAATGAGTTTTCTGATTTTCTCTGCATCTGAAACAATTTCAGCATGCCTTTCAGCTTTATAACCCTCTGTATACTCGCTCTCAACAGGAATATATAAACGAAATTCAAGCCCATAGCTTGTGAGAACTTTTCTCAACTCATTTTTCCATTCCCTTAAGTTTCTGAGATTCAGCCTTAAATTAAGTTTCATTGGTAAAACAGTGTTGTCGTATAAGTTATTCATCTACAAACAAAAACAAACGAGGCAAAATTCAATAATTATGTTTAATTTTAATAAATTTAAAGTATCATAAGAGATTTTATAACTGGTAACTTTAAAGCATTCATTCAATTTAATTGATCCCTATTGAATAGAATGATTCCAAGATCCTTTATTTGTGCAATAATTGACCGGACTTTGGCCCTACCATCAACCATTACATTTTCAAGGTGAGTAAACTCTTTATTGATTACAACTCTTTGTAATTCTTGGTTGAATAATTACCCATCACATGTTTAATTATTACCCTTAGCTTCAAGGTTCTAAACTCTTTAGGTAACCTTGTTGAGTATAACCAATCAAAAGTGTAAAATTTGTTTTACCCCCACTCCCCTAAGATATAATATGACACCCTGCTTTGGCATGACCCATCATAAATATCGGAGGTTTCATCGGGTTTTTGATTGGAAAAGCAACCTCAATATTACCGGGACCTAGATTTATTATGTTGTGATTACTTAGTGAACTCTAGCGCATCATCAAGCGACATAAATAAAATCTAACATGCATAATCTACTAATGCATAAATAAAACATGACATAGTATGGCCCCTTAATCCTAAGAAAACTAATAAAGCAAAAAGCTCCCACTTGAACCTTCATGGATCTCATCCAGGGCCTTCACTTCATGGATTTCTTGGATTAACTGCAACTTGTAATACTATTATATTTTGTCTACTACTTAAATAAAATACTACCTCCGTTACATATTATTTGCAACGATTAGACATTTTTCCTCTCTACTTTATGTCAAATCGTTGAAAATAATATATAACGGAGGTAGTAAAATAAATTACAAAAATACTTAACGGTACGCAGACCGTATTTAGGTTACAAAAATACATCACGATGCGCAGATCGTATTTAGAATCTATGGGTCATACTAGTATATATAGAATAAATAAAATCATATATTATAAAATGCCATATAATAAATCAATCATCATGCTTTCCTAAACTACAACATCGAATGTTCACAATTAAGAAAACATGGCTCCTAAATATCTCATATTTTAATTAATTATCGTAATTAGATAATATCATATATTATTCATAACCAATTATAAAATATTATATATTTTAATTTAGGTATGAGATAGAATCAAATCTTATTTTAATTATGGAAGATAAATCATATTTATTTTCCATGATTATTATCCTAACTAATTTAGGAGATTCTATCCTAATTACTTGCCAATCACATATTTTAAATCAAGTATCCTAAAATAATTATGGGATAATCACATTCTTTAATCAATTATTATCCAAATAGAATCTTTTGCTCCATAATTATCCTATCTTAACAAAATTAACCGCTTTAACTTTGTTAGTTATCTTTTCAAAATCAAAACTTATCCTTTTAAAAAAAAATTAATTTTGAAAAACTGATTTTTATCCAAAATAAAATAATTTTTTTTTTTGAAAATCGCACCAGCCACCATGGTGTGGTCAGCCGAAGCCGGCCACGGTGGCCGACTGGCCGTACACCTTGCAGTGTACGCTGCCCTGCAGCGACGCAAGGACAGCAGCAGCAGCACACACAACAAGGTGGTGCACTGCTGCACTACCCCTGTTTGACCCCTACCCAGCCCGCCCTCCCTCCCGGACCACCACCGGTGCGGCAGTCGTCGTGGCTGCGCCACCCAGCCGCGACTGCCGCACCTAAAACCCTTTTTTGTTTTTAATTTAAAACAAAACATTTTTATTAAAATTAAATTAATGTGGTCCTTCTAATTTTTAAATTAAATCATATTCAATTTCAAAATTAGGGTTCTTCATGAATTTAATCCCCAATTCAATTTAACTTTTAAATTAAATAATTTGATCATGAAAAATTCATAATTTAACATGAAATCAAATGAATTAAATTCTATAAACATATAACTATCGAATTAAATCAAAACCAAAACACAAATTTCACAAATTAGGGTTCGAAGTTTTTGAAAAAAAAAAATAGGGAGGGGGTTGGAATTTTTCGAATTAATTAGGGCAATTTTCTGATCAAATTAAGGCTAATATGGAGCAAATTAAACAACTTTTAATGATTCTATATTGTTAAATCACATTTAATATAATAATTGACCCATAATTAAATTATTCTCCCTCCTAATTGAATTAAAATTGTGGATTATCAAAGAATTAATACTCAATATATGTAATTGCAAGAGGCTAACTGACACTACTACAAATTTGGCCAAAGAGACCCGTTCGAATTAGCCAAAGAGACTGCCTTAGAGGCGGTCTCTAGCACATCGGTCTCTTTGGCAAAAAGACTGCTTTGTTAAAGGCGGTCTCTAGAATGGGAAAGCTGAGACCGCCTCTTGAAGATAAGCGGTCTCAATTTTGAGAAAGTTGAGACTGCCTTTATGAGAAAAGCGGTCTCTCTTTTCAAAAAACTAAGACCGCCTATCTTAATTAGGTAGTCTTTGTTAGAGGAAGTTGAGACCGCTTTTTAGGTATAACGGGTCTCTTTGGTCTCATTTTAAATAAAAAAAATTAATCAAATTTAATTTAATTTTTAAAATTTAAATTACAATATATAAAATTGTTGGAAAATTACAAGTATCAAATACAGAAAACTTGAAAATAATGTACTCCAAATTCGTATACAAATTATTGTAATCATTACAAAAATAATTACATTAACATATAAAATGTAGCTAATCTTAAGTACTCCAACTTCTTCGTCTCGAGATTTTTTTTTTTCCTGTGAAAGCAGCATATCTATCAAAGCAAAAACCACATAATTAATCAATAATAATTAAGATTATTAAGAACTTACCAGAAAACAACTTAACATTAAAACGATGAACACTAAACAAATTTAAAAAAATTCGGGTTCAATTCTCTTTAAAATTTGTTGCAATGCTTCTGGATATTCAACTATACATAATATAATTCACCCACTAACTTAATTTCATGAAACTAACAACATACAAAAACTTGAGAATTCCACTAAAATAAGAAATTAAACAACAAAAAATGAACAATTATGAATTTAAACACATACCACGGTAACAGTAGCAATAACAGAAGCAATTGCAGCCATAAAAATACTCACCCAGAAAAAAAAAAACGCAAAATTACTCACCCATATAAACCCAGAAAAAAAAAAAAAAAAAAAGCAAAATTACTCACCCATATAACAGTTGCCTCTACCAAAATAAACCCAGAAAAAAAAAAACGCAAAATTACTCACCCATATAAACAATTGATATTCATAATAAATAAATAAATAATTGAAATTTATTAATCAAATTAAAAACCCAAACCAAGAAAAAGATGAAGAATAATATCCGAGAATACCTCGACACATTAGGCTTTAATTTGATGGGGTTCAAGAGGAGCAGGAATCAATATAGATTGGTTGTTGTTGTTGTTGACGATGGAGTTATTTTTTTACCAGTTATTGCGCTTAGAATTCCCATTTTTGTCTCTCTTATTACAGAAATTCGATTTCATCGATCTGTTGTAGCCAATGAACTTGCCAAATGTTGATATTTTGCTTGACTCACTTCCGATGACGTCTTCTCTAAAGTTACTGTCTTGTTATGGTGGATTTGATAGAGCGAGGTGGATGCGGGTCATTACTTTCACTCGACTTGGTCGGATATAAACCGGGTGAGGAGATAGATTAGGAGGAAGTAGATCATGGTGGTGGTGGTGAATTCATTTGTTGCATGGGAGAGAAGGGAGGAGGAAGAGAAGGAGAAATAGTTGGAGAAAGAAAGAGGAGGGAGAGAAGGAGAAGCAGTAGGAGCGGCGGATGAATGTAGGTTTGTGAATTATTAGGGTTTCATTTTTTTTATATTATTTGTAGATTAGGAAGACCGGTTAAGTTGTCACAGGTCTCTCCTAATAAGTTTTTCATTTTTTTTTTATATAAAAAAAAGAAAAGAGAGACGGTTATGTACTAACACAGGTCTCTCCTTTTAAAATTTAAAATAAAAAAATTAAGAGAAACCTGTTATGTACTAACACATGTCTCTCCCTTTTAAGTTAAAAATAAAAAAATCAAGAGAGACCTGTTATCTATATTAAAAGGTCTCCGTTAAATATTTACCTCTTAAGACAATACCAAAGAGATCGATTTTTTGTAATATTGGGTCTCTTGAAACAAAGAGGTCTGTTATCTACTAAAACAGTCTCTTATTTACGGTCTCTTTGAGCATTTTTGTAGTAGTGTGATACCACTGTAGGAGACTATAGGTACTAAATTGCGGAAAAGAATATATGAATCATATTCATAAAGCACCTAAACCAAGGATCTCATGCGTAACACATAAAGAAGTAAGAATTATACCTTTGAAGCGTGATTCCACAAGTGATCGAACAAGAACAATAAGGAGAACAAGAACCCCACGTGTGATTCCTCTACTTAATTAGTCCACGAGCACGGATTAAACCTCCACTAATGCTAGTTAGTTGTGACTGAACACTTCAATCAACCTTCGACGGAGATTTGAGCCACGAACACACCACAACACCACCCACGCGCCACCTAGAGAGGAGGGTCGTACGGACAGGGAGGAGAGAGAGAGGGCCGAGTAGAGAGAGAGAGTTAGGGTTTTAGGAAACTTGGTTGCTTGTGTGACAATTCACTGTATGTCAATTGTTCAGTCATGCAACCCTAGGCATGGTTTATATATAGATCATATCTAGAAATAAAACCATGTCAAGTCCAAAACCCATTAGACTCTTCTAACTATCCAAGCCCAATCATCAACATGGTATGTCATGAACCTCATGAGGCCCAATAATGGGTCTCTAACTTGTTTAACCCAATACTGTTATGTGTGACCTTGTAGGATCCACTCTATAAGGCTTTGGGCCATTAAGCTAGCCCAAAGATCAATTGTCATATCTAGCACCAAACATTGACGACCCTATAGAATGAACTAATTATCTCCATAATCGTGATCCTTGATATATCTAGTAATTGCACTTATCGAAAACATAACTCCTTCACAAACTAGCACACGACACTGCGTGATCACCGAAAATATCTCCTGTAAAAACCCTTGAACAAACAGAGCACGACATAACCAAATGAACATATATTATTATTAAACGAGTTTTTTTTAATACTTTAATTGGTTTCTTGCCTAATTCTAATGCGAAGAACATAACAAAATGAAGGAAGTATATAACAACATAGATTATTGTGTAAGAAAAATTGATTAATTAAAATTTCATTCATTTAGTTATATCTCCAATACTTTCATATATTATCATATTTCACGAAATCAGGTTTATTATTCTTACTTATTAGGGAAGTATTTTATTAATAAAAAAGAAATTTGATACTCATTAAAACACCCATATGGTTTAATATTTTGTTTTAATATACTCATTTGTCAAATCAACTCTTTCGTTATATTTCATGTTTTATTTCATTATATAATTTAATCAAAATAAAATATAATAAATACTAGATGAAACCCGTGCGATGCACGGTTTGTTTGAATTTTTTAAAATAATTTTTTATATATATATTTATGTGCTAAAATTATATATTTAGATAAAATTCCTAATATCAAAATATAATATTTTATATTTAATTAATTTAAACCGGAAAATCTCATTCGCCAATTTTGCTTACGTGTCATTTAAATTATTTAATTCTAAAAGAAATTAATAATCTCGTATTTAGCTGGCTACCACTAATATTTATTATCCTACATGGCGCGCTGAAAAAATTAAATCGTACGTGACTCTCTAAAAACTCGGGAAAAAATTCCCCTTTATATATATATATATTAGATTAGATTAGATTGTTATAGTTGTATTTTATTTATGTTATTTTTAATATAAAAAAAATCCTTACCGGTTGAATGTTATAAAACTATCGTGCATGGCACAGGATCTAACCTAACTTATATAACAAATGAATGCCAAGTGGAAACACATAGGAGGGTAAAATAGTTATTTGACATTCATAGAGGTATATTTTATAGTTATAATGGTAAATTTTGTGTATTATTATGCATGTATATTATACCATTAGATTATAGGTTGTCCTAGCTTAATAGTATTATTATATCTCACAGTGGTATAATATTTGATGTACATTTACGTCAGGGCCAGCGATCGCTTAGGGCCCCCCTTTTGTGGGGCCCACATTTTTTTTGATATCTTATTAAAAAAAAAAACTATTCTTTGATAAATTGTAGTACTAATGACAAGTATAACTGCTTCTTTTTAATCTAAAGATGAATAAAAAAATTAACTTATTTAGCTTAAGTGATTTTTTTGGGGTTCAAATGGAGGAAATGAAGAAGCACTAAAGCAGGGTTTGGTTTATTTGCTTAATTATCTTTTTGTTTGTACTTTTAGATTTTTTGGTGAACTATAAACAATAATTTTGGTGAACTTTATAATATAAAAATTTATGAAACATTCTCATAATTTAGGGGCCTTTTTTAAGATTTCGCTCCGGGCCCTAAAATGTCCAAGACGGCACTGATTTACGTACTTATTTGTACGATTAGAAAAATATTTATACTAGTACAACATTTAATGATACTATTATCTATTTAATAGTACTTTGAACTCATGTTAATATTGGTACAAATTTAGCCATCCTTTTTATTAAAAAACTAGTGTGTAGCCCGGGTATTGCATCGGTTGCTACTTTAGTTAGACCTTGTGATTATCAAATTTACATTTATTTTTATGTTTACAACATAGTTTATAATTGGCTTAAATGGTTAAGTAACTATCTTTCTTATAAAAGGTTGGGTGTTCGAACCCCTTATCATCACTTTCTTTATATGAAGCAATATTCTACTCGTAGATTGAGTAGTGTGATGTGGCATAATGAGAGATGGAGTAGGTGACGTGGCGTGGTTTACGTGACACAGAGACGTTCTTAATAAAGCCTTTTAATATATTAGTATAGACACTACAAAAATTTGGCCTTTTAGCAACAGGTGAAATCCGTTGCTAATTGCTAAAAATCCGTCGCTGGACATAGCTAGCTACGGATATATCAAAGGAATCACTCCGTTGATAAAAACCTTGTCACTAAATGAATTTAGAGACGGGAAAAAAAAATCCGTCGCTGGACTTAGCAACGGAAAAAAAAAAATCCGTCGCTGGATTTAGCAACGGAAAAATAAATCCGTTGCTAGATTCAACAACGGAAAAAACAATTTTGAATCTAAAAAAGAGCTGCTATTTGTGTTGATCTCACTTAGTAGGAGTCAAACCCGTGACCTCAATGTCAAATAGTGAAACTCTTACCAACTATACCAAATATTATTTGTTTACTTTTACGCACATAATTGATAATAAATGAAAGAAATATTAGAGACAGAATTTAAAATCCGTCTCTAGTTTAGTAACGGAATTTAAAATCCGTTTCTAATTTAGTGACGGATTTAAACATCTGTTTCTAGTTTAGAGACGGATTGAAAATCCGTTTCTAGTTTAGAGATGAATTTAACTTACATACTTCGTCTCTAATGTAATATTTTACATAATTAGTTTTAAAAATTATCTAGAGACGCAATAAAAAATCTGTCGCTCATATTAGTAACAGAAAAAAAAAACCGTCTCTAACTTAGCAACGGAAAAAAAAAATCCGTTGCTGACTTAGCAACGGAAAAATAATCCGTCTCTAAATTTAGCAACGGAAAATAAATCCGTTGCTAGATTCAGCAACGGAAAAAAAATCCGTTGCTAATTTAGTAACGGAAAAAAATCCGTTTCTAATTTAGAGACGGATTTTCAATTCCGTTGCTAATTTAGCGACGGAATTTTTAATTCCGTTTCTAATTTAGAAACGGATTTTTAAATTCCGTCTCTAAATTAATTTAGAGACGGATTTTTTGATTCCGTCTCTAATTTAGAAACGGATAAAATTCCGTCGCTAGAATTCATTTTCTATATGGACATTTTTTTGTAGTGAGATAAATAGGTGTTTGTAAGATAAAAAATTCAATCAAATTAAAGAAAGCAGCTTTAATTATCTACAGGATCGATTAATTCTTCACAAAAAATTTGTTCTTCCTTTTCTAGTGTAGGCCACGTGGCATTCATAAGATAGCAACCTTTGGATCCTTAAACTAGTGTCAATGATCGAATTGAATGATAATTTGACTTAAGTGTCAAGTCAAAGAACCTAATCAATTACGCCATTGAAAGTAGGAGGTCTTTAGGTAAGATAAAAAAGTTAGACGAGCAAATTATAGTAACTAGATTGGCAGTTAAAGTTTTCTCTTACTCATTGTAGATTCGTAGCACAATGCATGTAATCAGAAGTCATGCATGTGACGCAAATGATTGAGAGATACTATAATCTATGATGCATTTTGTCCAACAATGTTACGAATGTATGCATCATCCACAATCTTATAATCTATCATTGTATAGAATATGCCAAGACTTAGAACTAATTCATGTGCTCTATTTTTTAGTGTATTATTGCTCCTTCAAATCTATTCTCTCCATTCCACCATGTATTTCACATTTGTAGTTCATGCACGTTTCAAGTAACTATCCTAGGGTTTTACATGATTATTTATAATCAATGAAAATTAATGCATACCTAAGATACCTTGGTTGATTCTTTAAATGCTTCTCTCCTCAAACTGAATTTTTTTTAATTTTTATATGGAAAAATTAAAAATTCTTCTAAAATTGTGCGTGTCTCCAATTCTAGAAACCCTGAAAATTTGCTTTAAATGGCTTTGACGTCACTTCCTACTTAGAATTGCTACTCATACCAAAAAGATGCATCTTTTTTTAAGGAGACTTGTATTATAAATATCTTCTATGTATTCCTTAATTCCTCTTGTAACCCTTATTAATTCCTCTCCATTCACTTCATTTCCTAAGTAATCTAGGTTTAATCTTTAGACATATCAAGTTTTTAACTTATTTTGCTTTTTCCTATAAACATACACGTTCTCTTGTATTCTTAGGCTGCTGCTAACTCCCTCTTAACCCCATCATGACCAAACAATTCGTAAGAGCTTAGTCACTCATAAGAGGGAGCTAGCTAGCAGAGTAGGAATATAGACAAGGAATTGATAAGAAAGATAAAGACTGAAGTTCTTATTTAAACCTTACTAATTAATTTCTTTTTCTCCCTTCTATAATAAGCAGTGTTTCTTTCCATAAATATAATCCTTATCCCACTCTTTTATAAGGTAACCTC